TCTTAACTAGAGATTCATCAGTTGAGCTTTGAGACCAGAACAATCGGTGAGTTGCTCAGTGACTGTTTGCAGGATAAAGAGAGGAAGAAGTAGAAGAGAAATCTAGGAAAACACCGAAGGAAGCCTTGGAAGTGTGTGGAGAGGTTGGAGAACACCAAGAGGGGTGTGCTGAATTGGAAGCCAAGAAGGGTGTTTCAAGGAGGAACAGTCAACAATGTCAAAGGCTTCCAAGAGGAAGCAGGTGCCTCTTGGATTTAGCAGTGCGGAGCTCATTAGTAAGCAGCCCAAGGGTGAGTGGTGGGAGCTGACACAGGGTTAGTAAGCTGAAGAGTGAGAGAGGCAGTCATGGTGGACGTGAGTGCAGACCACCATTCTGAAAATCCTTGGCTCTGAAAGAGGGGATGAGGGAGGACGGGGGGCTGACAAGACGCTTGCTTTCACTTTGGGGGTGTATTTTGGCGAGGCTTAGACCTATCTAAATGGTGATAGGAAGGATCCAAAAGAGAGCGGGATCTTTGAGTGTTCAGTGGGGAATGAGCACAGGTCTGGCTCCACCACCGTCTGAACTTGAGGGCTTTGTTTGACCTGTCTGGGCTCTGGCATCTTTATCTGTAACTTGCAGGGTTTCTCTATATCTGTGGTTTTCAAACTGCGCTCCTCAGAACTGTCTCAGAGCACTCGTGTTTCAGCTTTAGCCACAGCGACTTGACCTCTCTCTTACGTGTTGTTAAACAGTTTTTTATTTCTAGCAATTTAATACATATACATACTTTGGAAAAACGAAATAGCACTAAAAGAATCCTTAAAAAACAGCAACCCCTGCCCACACCTGCTCACTCTCAGCCACTCCCAATTCTTGTGGTATTTCTGCCAATTTATGTAAATTAAAGTCTTACCTCCATATTTCTTAAATGTAGACATCTATTGATTTCCGTCCCATCCTGTGCCCAACTTGCCCTGATTCCAATCCTTCCAACATAATGCTATCCCAACGTTTGGTTAACAGTGTTTTCATTATGATAAGCAAGCAAATATTGCTCACTGACCCTTGTCTCCTTTTGAACAATCTGTCATTTCTTCTGCCAGTAATATTTGCCTCTTTTGTCTTGTTTACCTGATTTCCATTAATGGTTGCTGTTTTTTTCCTAAATGTTCTGCCATCTCAAAAACCTATCGGTGTACTCCCTGTGCTGGCGTCATCACAAGACTTCCCTGAGAATCCACTCCCAGAGACCTGTGTGGTCTGCCACGGAGCCTCCTCGTGTTACTAGCTTTGACTCTTGGCTGTGTCAGAGCCATGCCTTCTGCCGCCCTACCTTCCTCTTCCTTGGTTTTCACCCTGGTGTTGGCGTAGCCCGTCCTCTAGTGGCATGGGAGTCGATGTTTTCGAGTACTGCATAACCGAAAATATCTTTATTCTACCATCTCACTTGATTGATGGTTGGCTGGTTATGGAATTCTGGTTTGCAAAAAAAACTTTCCCTTGAAAAATGTTAAGGTTATTATGGTTTCGCTTCCATTTTGGTTGTTGAGATGTCAGATGCTATTACGATTTCCTACCCCCTGGACCTATGGGTTTTATTTCTCTTAGGAGCTTTTTATTGTTATTTTGATCCCTCATGTCACAAGTATGTGCGCTGTTTTGGTTCTTTCTTCATTCATTCTTCTTGGTGCCTGGTAGGCCCTTTTGTTATGAAGATTCATATCCCACATTTCTAAAGAACTTTCTCGATTTATGTCTTTTATAATTTTCTCCACTTCATTTTTCCCGTTTTCTCTTTCTGGAGTTTCTTTTAGTTTAATATTGGACTTTCTGGCTTGACCTTCTAATCTTATCTTTTCTCTCTCTCTCTCTCTCTCAAGAAATTATCTTGGCTTTATATTCCAACTCCTCTACTTAATTTCTCTAACTTATCTATCCTTTATTTAATTTCCTTTTTATAGCCATTCATTCCTGTTTCATTGATACAATTTCTTCTCTTCTCTCTCCAAGGACATTCTCTCTCCCCCAACCCTAATTATAAATCCTACCTATCCTTGAAGGTTCAGCTCAAAATCCATATCTTGTATGAGGCCTTGTCCAGTCGGTTCAAATCTCTCCACTAAACATGAATTCTATAGCATTTTTATATTCCACACCATCTAATATGTGATTATATTTAAACTTGCATTGCTTTCTGTTGAGGAAATCAGTTGTATCTCCCCGATCGCACTATAATCTTCTCAAGAGCAGGGACTGTTTACTTGTTCTGCATCAGCCAGAGTGACTTGTCTAGAATTGTGAATATAACAAGTTATAAACAAGTGCTTACTGATTTGAAAAAAAAAAAATGATTGGCCATCTTAACTCCACCAAACCAGGCTATCCTAATCAGGGTTCTTTAAAGAGTACCAAGAGCATAGGTATTTGCCAAATAATAGGACTGTAGAACTTACACATGTTTCCAATTTTTCCTATCTTTACACAGTGTTTCATTCATACCTAATTCAAGAGCAATATTTTAGTGACTTGCTTTTATTGACTCTTCCCTGAAACACTCAACTTAGTTTTTCATAGGAAAAACACAACTTTCTTTTCTCACATTTCATTGGTTTAGGAAATATTTAATAAATTATGCAGTTGAAATAACCAAGAACAATTGGCACAAGCAGGATTGGAAACAAACAACATCTAAATCTTGGCCAACACATGACTCAGTTGGTAGGAACCAAAGAGGTTAGGCATGCTGGAGAGTAACCTAAGTGCCTTGGGCACTTAGCCTGCCAAGGAAGGAAGGGCATTCAACTGTCCTGTCATTTAAGTGGAAAACAGTCAAGAGAGTATCTACTATACTTTATTCTTTGTATACCAAAAAGAGGTATCTGGAAGAACTGGATTTGTGCTCATCATCTCTCTTGGGTCCCCGTGCAATCAAGGGTACATGTGGGCAACCCAGCTGACATGGATTAGTGGACAGCCTTTGGTCTGAAAACAGCACTAGGCTCACTGGCTCAGGGGCCAATCATCTTTGTCTCCTTAGAACCAAGGTCTCCCCACCTGAGCTGCACTCCCCACCATGAGTCTACAAAGGGCCAACAGAGCTCTGCTGGGCCCAGAAATCTTGCCTTTTCCATCTCCAGGATGAATCCCTCTTCCCACCACTTCTAAAACCATCACACTTTGGAAGAATCACACTTAGATTCTCAGAGAGGACATAAGGTTGTCCAAATGACTCTGGATGGCCCCTGCCACAATATGAATCATGTTTTATAATAGTCTGGGAAACTTGGAAATCCTGCTTGCATTGTGGTCCCTTAAGAAGGATAACCTCTAAGTAGAGTTAAAATAGGTTGACATGAGGGACACCGGGGCTAGGCATCCCACTCTTGATCTCAGCTCAGGTCTGCATCTCAGGGCCCTGCGTTGGGCTCTATGCTGGGCATGGAGCCTACTTAAAAAAAAAAAAAAATGTAAAATAAGGTGACATTAATGGCAGGACAGAAGATTTGTATTTCCTGTTGATCACACTAGAAGGACTGGCACCACTTTATAGCTACTGAAAATCCCAAACACGAAGGAAGCCATCCCTGGTCTTTGTTCTCGAGGGCAAGAAGACTGTTCTGTGAACAGGAGCTTGAGAAAACCCCATAGAAAATACTGTATGAAAATCACACAGCAACAGAAATATCAGCCTATCAGATAAGAGTTTGTCTCTATAAAGTCACACTGGAACCAATTCAGTTGAATTGGTTTCGTGGTAAGTTTAGTGATTCGAACACTTTCCCTGGTGCTGGTTTAGAAGCCACAGAGGACTCAGTTCAGTGAAAGGTAATGAGCTTCCTGTTTCTTCTGGGGCTTTCCCACAGGCGAGTAGTGAACAGGGGCAGATTTCATTTTGGGTTGGTGATAAGAACAAATTGAATTACATTAAAACTCACATCAAATCCCATTTGACTCTTGCTTTTAATTTTCCTCCTTTCCCGCTGCATTTTAATCTTAAGTGACAGAGGCCGCAGCTGTTCTCCCAACGCTGGGGTATTTGGCTTGTTCCAGCTTTATCTTTCCTCTCACTGACTCCCGTCCTCACTTACAGGGGCATCGGCTGGGCCCCGCGTGTGAGCCTGGGTGTTGACGGCCGTAGGAGCCGTGCTCCTTGCTCATCTGTCTCCTTGTCTGGCTGTCAGGGCAGCAGAGCAATGACCTTGGCTCCCCAGCAGTCCAGGTCTGCAGACCAAGCCCCTCTCAGGGCTCCTCCACTCTCTCTACCCCCTGGCCTCTTTCTGCTGCCTTCTTCCGCTTTGGTTTTCAGAAATGGGTTTTCGTACACTGATGGTCCTTTCCCCTGGAATCAAGAATGACATTGAAAGCCTTCCTTCTTTAGCTGTTTCCTCATCCCACTCTCTGTTCACAGAGGCTGAACTCTTGGACCTGTGCTAGTTTCTCAGGGGGCGTGGAGACATGAATTTCCACACGATGGAATAACAGATTCTAAAAATGGCCTCATGGGGAGAAAATGCATAGCTCGTTAACACTAGTGGTATCGCAGCCAAAACATGCTGGCTGCCTGACCACAAAGACAATTCCAGCCGGAGGCAAATTTTTAAAAAATATGTCTCAATGAGTTCTCTTCAAGTATTCTTCCCCCACGGTAGAGGTCTAGTGACTTCCTTCTCTTACCAAGCAAGTGACAGAATTCCTCAGTCAGTCGCCATGGACCTGGGCCCTCTCTTCAGATCAGATAATCCCAACACGCCAGTGCCTTCTGTCTAGAACCATCAGTTCCAAATGTAGTGTGAGCCCAAGGAATAAATCTATGATGTCAGATCACCGTGGGACATTTTCTTCAATGGACTAAAGCAACAGGTCGGAGAGCTACTTAATAGATTTTCATTTAAAAAGTCAGAATAAACGGCTCGTAACCCCCCCCCTTCTAATTTGCTTTAAAAATGGGTCTAGGGGAAAAAAATGGTCTGTCTCAACCCAAGAATATAATAACACTGCCTCTCTTTCCTTGTTTTAGGGAGTGCTGTCGATTTTTTGGAGACAATGGCTTGACTTTGAAGGTGTTTTTTACCAAGGCAGCACCCTTTGGTGTTCTTTGGACACTCACAAACTACCTGTACTTACATGCAATAAAGAAAGTAAACACTACGGATGTCTCCGTGTTGTTCTGCTGCAACAAAGCTTTTGTGTTCTTGCTCTCATGGATCGTTCTCAGGGACAGGTTCATGGGAGTGAGGGTAAGTTCCTTATTATCTGTCTTCCTCCCTCACTCGGTCATGTCAACCAAAACCTGCCCATTGGCTTGCTTGGCTCCATGTGCTGCATCCTAAGCCTAAACTGCTGACCACTGTCCTGCCGATTTGCAGCAGAAAAGGAGCCTGGGTCTCCGTGTGCCTTGCAAACTTTCTTGCTTGCAAACCATACTTGACAAGCATTCATTAAAGCACCTTTCATTTCAAGCATTTCAGTAAGCATTCCCTAACGTGTGTGCCCGTCGGGGACCCAACCTGGGGATGGCGATGTTCTCCCCTCTCTGCGTGCTCTCCCCCTCTCTCCCTAGGGCAGCTGCGCCCTGCCGCCCAGAGCTCTCTGCTAACCCTGTCCCTCTTTGCTTAGGATGCACCTGAAAGCAGGGGGATCCTTCTGCATCCACATGGACGGGCGGGCGGTCTCAGTGCGCCCTCTGTCTGGACCGTGTGTACAAAACTGAAGTGGGCCAGAGACACGTGTGCTAAATCCAGATGGTGGACGGGCAGCTTCCTTCCCTCCACACCCCAGGCGAAGGGAGAGTGAGATTCTGTCCCCGAATTACCTCTTGTCAGAACGGAGACTCAGCAAATCCCATTAAAATCTAGTCAAACTCAGCTAGTCAGATGTCTAACAGTGGTGTGAAATATGACTGTGTGGCACATACAAGGACTCACCCCGAATAAAAGGATCGAGGGCACGGTTCCCGTTGACGGAATCCTGGTGGCTTCTGCTTGTCTCCCTCTAGTGGCCAAGAGCTGCTACTGCCCCATCACCACCTTGCCGGCAAAAGAGGACAAAGGAGGATTTGGATTTGGTCTTGCAGCTAGTTCTCTTGGGGGGGGGGGGGGGGGGGGGGCATCACTAACTTCTTCCTGTACCTTCAGGCCCTCTGGGCCAGCCAGGCAGCCGAGAGCCCTTTTGATGGGCAGTCCCATTCCCTTGAACTGTGCTGGCACCCGGCAGGGGGCAGACTCCGGGGCCCTCTCTTACTTGCGTCCTCTGCTCATTGTCCTGGGAACAATGACATCACCCTGGTGGAGGACTCACACCCACCTAGTTACTCAAACAGCAGTGGGGACATGAGTCAACTGCTGAGGAGTATTTTTGGCTTGCAGTAGGGGGAAAATTTGTTTTGAGGCTTAGTGTTAATTTTGGAATAAAAACTCACTCCCAGTGCTTACCACCCAGAAAAGCTTTCAGCAAATAAAAGGTCTCATGCATCTCCACAAGAAATGCAGGTACTTCCAGCAGTAATCTGTCCATCAGCCTGCCTGGCTGGACTCTGAAGACTCAGATGTCCTGGGGCCCGTGGTGACTTTGTTTGGATGCAAAATCCCAAGGGAATTCATGAAACTTTTTGGCATGATTCTGATGTCCAAAGCACATTCCAGAGAGGATCCTGTTCACTGGGAAGAGAAACCCAGGTGAATTCTGCCTCTAAGTAGGATTTTTTCTTTTTTTTTTTTTTTTTTTTTTTTTTTTTGAGGTTAAGAGAAAGAGTTAGAAAATACTTGACACCCTCCTAGGCTCAGAGGGAACAGCATGGCACACCCAGATCTTCCCTTTGTTGCTATTCATGGCTAAGAGGGCTATCTCCCCTGATGTCCCTGACCTGTGATCCGTTCTGGTCATCCTGGCCACTTGGCCGGTTGGGTCTGTGCTGACAGCTGTATACTGAACAAAGTCTTGTGTTGAAGCCATCACTAGGCCAGCACTGAAATGAAGGTCTAAGAGGCTGGTGCCGGTGATGGAATCGTGTAACCCGTAACGTACTGTGCGGCTGTGGGTCTCTCTTAACGATCATCACTCCTCTAGGAAGCATGTGACCTGCCATCTGCGAGCTCCCCGCTCGAAGTCATGGCGGATTCCCCTCTTCTCGTCTTTAAGAGTTCAGAGAGCTAGCAGAATCTGGGAGAGACCCCCCCTCCGTGGCCAGAGTGTTGGGAAATTTCCCCTTGAGAACAGACGGAAACTCAGATCCCGGATAATGTCTAACTGGTGCAAGGGTTCTCTTAGGTTTCTCTCAGCCTGCCGGGTTAGCTGGCACAGAATTCCCAAAGATTGAAGGGGACTGACACGGCTCACCTTCCTGGAGGGCCAAGCATACGAGCCCGAGAGTCACACAGATAGAAAGATGAAGGAGCCTCAGCATTATGTTTGTGGGAACAGACAGCGCACCTGTGTTTATTAAGACAATGACTCAAATCACAAGGGCTGTGGTTCCTGCAAAACATCACCTGGTCCAGGTCCTGTGGACTGACCAACAAGCAGCGAACATCTCACGCCAGAGAGATCCTGGCCACTTCCGGCATCAGAGGTGACTGTCGAAATGAGCCCAAGTTGGCCACTGGGTCAGCCTTTGACTCCGTGCTTCCTGCGGGTTCCCTGGCTCTCCAGACGCAGGCTTCCTGACCCAACAGGGAGGTGCTCTCGCCAAGAGTCAAGGAGCTAGGGTTTGGATCTTGATTCCACTCTTATAAGCTGTTGGGCCTTGAGCAAGTTATTGAACGTCTCTGAGCCTCTGTTACCTCATTTTAAGATAGATGAGTACTCGTTTGCGAGAAGAGCTGTGAGAATAAAATAAGATGGTGTATGCCCGGCACATGAAATCCGGTAACTGTTCTTTCTCGCTGTTGTTACTTCTGCTGTTCCTTCTCAGTTGGAGGGCTTTGTTGGATCAGCCCAGTACTTTTGGTGACTGTGTCAGAAGCTGACAAACGTCGAAGGAGGCAGTTTTGTTTAGCAAAAGCAGCACTAGAATGAGAGCAAGGAGAACTCTGGGGGCATGAAGTACAGCCTCTACTATAGCCGAAGCCCGCAGCTGGAGAGAGAAAGGGCGGCGGGGTGAGACCATTCCCCCACCCCCACCCACAGCTCAGGGGACACGGAAGACGGGATCTTCTGCTTGCTGAGCAGCTAATCATAACTGCCCACAAGAGTCAAGACCCTCCAACCAGGAGGGACTGACGCAGAAACAAGAAAGCACGCTGAGAGATCATTCATGTGGGCCCTTGAACCCCAGCAGCACATTCCTGGGGATCCTGTGCCTTTTCCAAGTCCAGGCCCCATCTCGGGTTCTAGCCAATGTTTTCAGTCATGACGGCGCTCTCAGAGTCTCACGAGAGGCTGTCCCTGAACGGTAGCTCCAGCATCTGATCCCGACTGCCTTGTGTTGGGGAGGCTGACCCCTGCCACCCGAGCACAGCACAGGGGAGGACCCAGAACACACAGAGCCCGGGGAAGCACCAGAAGGCTCACAGCTAGCCCCTTCCCACACCCTGAAATCAGAAGGGTCCACTAGACGATCCCACCAAACTCTAATAGTCTGATGGATAAGAGCAGCCAGGAGCTGGGAGGGGAAGCCTGTTTACAATTTGTCCTTTCTGTTGCTCAGAATTGCCCCAGATTGTACACGTCCACGTGCACCCCACGGGGCTCAGTCTGGCAGAGGGCACGCAGTCCATCCCAGTTTGAGCAGAGTGGGGAGCTTGTCTGAGAGGTGGTCAGACCCCATGCTGCGCCCACCTCTCTCGTTCCTCCTTGATCCTTAAGGGGTTTGGCTCCTTCCTCTCAGCCTGACATCAGAGAGGGAGCAGTGGGGCCATAAGGGATGCAGGATGGAGCCCCTGGGGCCGGGCAGGCTACAGTGGGGTCACCATGCGAGGTGAGGCCACCCGTAAGAGGGTAATTGGCAACACGCTGACCGTGGTCACCACGTCTCCTGCGCCTACATTTCCTCCCCCTCTAGCTAACTTCCCCACCACCACCCCCCGCCCTTCTCGGTGCTAGGGCCACTGTTACCCATCAGTCTGAAGTCCCGAGTCCCTGTTTTCGGACAGGTCAGTGGGATACGTGGAAGGGGTGGTGGAAGGTGGGAGAAACGAGAGACGGGGAGAAGTTCAGTTGTCTCCTTTCCTTTATTTTCTCCTCAAACTCAGCATTCTGCCCCAGGGACACCCTGACCTAGAAGATGGCGGGGGGTGGCATGTGAAACCACAGGACAGGTACCACTGGCCTTCCCGGAAAGTACATCGTAGTGCAGGAAATAGGCAGCAAACATTCCCAAGTGCAAACCAAGAACACCCAATATGTTATGATATGAGTGTAAAGTATACATGTCATTTTTAAGGATAGAACTGGGATCTTGAAAGGCATGTCAGGCTTGAGGAAGGACTTCCAGGCTCTGCCCCCCAAACCCGTAGGGTGTTTCAGCTCTGCTCTGCCGTCAGGGCCATTAAGAGTGAGCCTCGCTCCAGCACTTTGGGCGGGCCCCAGGCTAAGGGCCCCGGGGGGGGGGGGAATCCCAGCAGGGCTGCTAGTGCTAGGAGACTGGATGCCCCACGATATGGAGCAGGCTGATCCTGTGACCTGTGGTGGGGACTCCCAAGAGGAGAGCTGGAGGTGGGAGCTGGGGGACCATAGTCCCCTGGTGCCACCTCTCACAATGACCTCCGGGCTCCTGGGCTCCTCAAGTGTGGCCTGGAGGGCTCTACCTCTTCCCCACCAACCCCTTCCCTCAGCTCTTCTGCACAGCACAGCCCTGGGGCGGGGACGGGGAGCTTGCAGCCCTTTATTATTGAATCAGTAGAGAAGACAGAGAAAGAGGTTGGAGACCAGCCTTCTATGTCTTGGGGAGAAAATCAACCCTTGGGCTCCTTCATTTCCTTGAAACTTCAGCCCAAAGTTTGGAAAGACTCAAGCACCTTTGGGGATGCACCAAATCATCAGAAATTCAGCTCTCTTCTTCCTTCCCCCCTTTGTTCTAGTTATTTCTCTCCCTGTGGCCTAGCGAGGTCAACCTGTTCCAAACAGCATCTTTGCATTATGTGTGTCCCCTGGCCCAGAACTCTGCCTGCCTTGTCACTTGCCCCTTTCTTCTCCTGGAGGGAAGAAAACGTCACTTATTGTCTTACTATCTCTGTTTCTTTCTCTTCGTGAACAGTTGTACACAATACGGGTATCATTTGCATATGAAACATATTCAGCGTGTGATGCAGAATGAGGCCTAACAGTGAGCTACTAAGCCAGAAAGGGCAAGTAGACAATCAGTTGCCTGGCACGCCTCTAATACATGACCATCACCTGCTCTCTCCAGAGCCTCTGTGTTGTTACATGGGCGGACTTAGCATTATAGGAAAATATTGCACGAGGAATATTCTAGAAGTATGTAACTCACACTGCGTGAGGCTCAACCACGTTACCTTTCACTAACCTGAAAATGTCATGCTTAAGCCACAAAGGAAACCTCAATTCAAATCTCAGCGTATAGTTGGCAGTGTATATTCTGTGAACCCTACTTTTCCTGGTTATATAGATCAACACTGACTTTGCGATCAGAAGGACCTGAAATTTTGCATCCCCGCACCGCCACACACCAGCTCTGTAACTTTGGGCAAGTTACACGACCTCTCTGAGCCAAAGTTTTCATGTTTACAAAATGAAATGGATGATAGTATCTGCCTATTTTGAGGATCGAATGAGAAAATACATAGAAGACACTTACCCTGTGACCACTTAGTCAGTCAACGGTGGCTACTTGAGATTGTTATTGGTAGCCTAGGTCAGTTTTGAATGACCCATTAAGAGGGATAAAGCTCTCAGTGAATCCAGGAGAGGAAACGTGTTCTGCCTACAGCACCCCTGGCCCCCTTTGCACCAGCGACACGTAGGTAGCTCCATGACCAACCACCTCGGGCTAGAACCACCTTACCCTCTGCGCTGATGCATTTCTCCTTCGTGAAATGTTATCCCAAGTAGTTAGTGCCCTGTGTAATCGGACAGTTTTACTTTGTACGGCAGCAGAAATGTGTACATCTCCCTGGGGCGTCCATTCAACGCAAGAAGTCTGGGTCCGAACACTCCCAGGATTGAGGGGGGCCGTGGGGGGAAGGCCCCGCCACAGCTAAGGAAAGGCACGGCACCCCCAGGGGTAGGACCCTGGGGCCCTTTGGCACATGACACTCACTCTTTCAGAAGACCCTACCACTGGCCAACATCTGTGCCCTCTCTGTTGAGATACCACGTACCTAAGAGCAAGATGACATGAGGTGCTTTCAGAAGTTTGGGTGGGAACTGGGGTCATTTCCAGGGGCGGTCTACCAGACCTCGTCAGGGCCAGATCCCCTGCTGTTGGCATTATGACCGCCTCCTGTGCGGTCTCCAAGCACCACAGGGATAGGCCACCACACGGTGCTGAGCCACGGCATGTCTCCTTGCCGCCAGCTCTTCCGGGGGTTCGATCACGCTAAGCTTTCCTAAGCAAGAACAGGAATTTCGTTGGTTCTCCAGAGAACTGGGAAGGAGACACCACTCTCCCCTCGCATGAAAACGCTCATGAGCATTTCTGCCTCGCTGGCCCTTCGGTGGCCCGTCAGACTCCCCACCACCACCCTCACCACTGGTTTCTCCCTTCTGTGCAGATTGTGGCCGCCATTCTCGCCATTGCTGGGATCGTGATGATGACCTACGCCGATGGCTTCCACAGCCACTCTGTCATCGGCATAGCGCTGGTGGTGGGCTCTGCTTCCATGTCTGCCCTCTACAAGGTAAGCACGGGGGAAGCAAGCTCTCTGAGAGAAGAGCAGGCCTCAGTGTGGCCGGCCCGTTACCTTTGGGGCATCTTTGATGGTACCTGTGCTTTAAGACGAGCAGCTGTTTTCAGTGTGCAGACAGACTTGCAGGGATGAGGGAGGCATGCACCCGCTCTTGGCTTTGGCTCTCTAGACCTTTCCATCCAGGGCCATCTCTTTGCAGCATTGGGCATAAAATAGGTGGAACAGTGGATGGGCCCAGCCTCAGTCAGAAGACTTCATTGGTAGGCAAGGACTGGAGAAGGACCGGGGGCCTGGGGGCTGGCTCGGCATTTGGGGAGATGACTTCCCACCAGGTTTGACATGAAGATTTAAATATCTGGTGCAGCCTCGTCATTGAGATCTTTCATTGCATGGTTTTTTGCAGCTACTGGTACTCAGCGTGAATCCATATGCATTTTAAGCATTGCCTGTAGCAATAAATAAAAACCCCAACTCCTGTGATACGGGGATTATAACATATTTATAACATATTTTTGACAAAATGTGGGGAAGCCCTAGGAAACATGTCCCAGCTGCGGGGCTGGATGAAGCCACGTGTGCCCCCCACTCTTTGCTCCCCCATCCCCTCATGTCTCCTGGCTGGTCTCCTTCCTCCTTCCCTTGTTTCCTGTCTCCTTCTTTTACCTCCATAGTGAAGACTGCAAATTTTCTCTGTCCTCCAAGTTGGGAACCCTTGGCCCTTCCTGGATCCAGGCAGTAGGACAGAGGAAAATTAAATACGGTAGAGAGTTAGAAGAAAAGGCACTTTTTTTTTTTTCCAGCTCTGTGTGTAACACATTTTGTGGTTTTGGGATGAGAAATGACTGTACCTTCCCGTCCTTCATCAGCTCCCCACACTCACTGCCCACAGAGAGAGGCACACACACCATCTACCTGCTCTGGGACGCATCTCCCCAGGAGGAAGTGATAGCCCCGCACCACTCTGAGACTTCAAAGCCACTATTCAGATGCAGAAAATGGGACCAGGCCACACTCTGCTGCACTCAGTTAGCTGCGTGCTAATGGGAAGCAGAGCGCGTATGGAAATGCAATCCACAGTGAACACAGATTTCCGATTTCGACTCCCGTTTCCTAGCTCCTCCACCGCCTGATCTTTATCCAGAGGGGCCAGTGGGTGGAAGGCTGAAAGCAATTTATTTCTCTTCTTATACCTCCTGCACAAATGCCCAGAAATACCTGAAAGATTTGTGAAGTGACTGAAAAAGGAGGAGGCAGGCAAAGTAAGAGGCCCAACAATGCAGAGACTCAAGTTGGACTCGAATCCGTTCACTGGTTGTGGACAGTTCACTGGAACATGGGGGCGGCTGCCTCTGTCATCCCGGCTTCCCGGCCACTCCGGGCACGTCTATCCCTCTCCTTCTGGGCCTCACACCCCTCAAATACGTACAAACAGGGACAGGTGCAAGAAATCCAGGTGGGGTACATACCACTAAACCCCACGCTGTTTCTGGACGAGGGCGGGTGGGATGGAGCAGAGATGAGCCCTGAGTGTTATAATCCCTCTGCCTTCGATTTATAGAAAATGCCTTGGCAGCCAAAGCTCTTTGTTCTGGGGGCAGGCTGTGTTGTAGAAAGGCAGAGGTCCCCAAGAGGGATGTGTCCCCGTGGCAGCTATTTCCACTTCCGGTGGCTTCCCCCATCATTGGACGCTCTGAAGCTGGGACACGGTGTCATGAGTACAGCACAGACAGCTCAAGCCTAGCGTGAAAAAGCCGTGACTCCCGGAGATGCCCTCCAGGAGGCCTGAGATCCGTAACCCTCCATTGTGGCGCTGCTGAGATTTGGGTATTCGTACGAGCGCGCCTAGGGCAGACCCCGGCCCCCTTTCCCTGAAGGCCTGGTGAGGTCGGATTAGCCTGTCACCTGGATTTGCCCGTCACCTGGCTGCCGTCCTGCCCTCCGGCGCAGCCTCCATCAGGTGCGCCCACTGCCCCTGAGACAAGATGGCGGCTGAGGCCAGCCTTCACCCACCCTCCTCTGCTTTCTCTGGCAGGTTCTGTTCAAGCTCCTCCTGGGCAGTGCTAAGTTCGGAGAAGCCGCCTTATTTCTGTCCATTTTGGGTGTGTTTAACATCTTCTTCATCACCTGTATTCCTGTCATCCTCTACTTTACCAAAGTGGAATACTGGAGCTCTTTCGATGACATTCCATGGGGAAACCTTTGTGGATTTTCAGTCCTCTTATTGAGTAAGTGGCGATCCCCCCTGTCAGAGCCCCCCTGTCAGAAGCGACGACTGATGAGCAGGACCCGGGCAGCTCCAGGGGCATCTAGAAACCCATGCCCGAAAGAAGAGAAGCCTTCTATGGTTATCCCTAAGTTCCCAGTGCTTTTCAAGACCCTGGTGTCTCTCCACGTGAAGCCTTTGTAATGACGACTCTGGATTCTAATTCCAGAACCACCAGCATGGCCGTAGGAGTCACAGTCACTGCTGCTCCGAATAGTGCTGTGTGTGACCTCCTGATAACAGAACATTCCTTACAGGCCCGGGAGGGAGCTGGTCAGTTAATGCACGCAGAGTTCTTAGAACATTGTCTGATGTGAGTCAGTGTCCAACACGTTGTCTCAGTTATCGTTACGATGAGTATCATCACCACCATTACTTGGGAGAAGGCTGGTCCTAGGCAGGAAAGTAGCCAAGGACGGGCCTCACCCAGTTTCCATCTCAAAAGGCATAACCCAAAGCCCCTGGCCGCCCTCATCCCAGAATCACTGTCAGCGACGGAGAAAAGCAAAGTTAGTAGGATGAGTCGGATGGTCCCAGTCGTTTTTCCCAGGGCCTTCTCACTGACGACCGTTCCCGGATTTCTTTGCTCTTCTTCAAAGCTCGGGGAAGGGAGGAAAGCCGATTCATCAGGAGATGTGTCCCTAATCGCTACCCAGGCTCGCTGAGTAGTAACTCCCGTGACTCCAGCCTCACCGGAGAAGCTGGGGTGGGACAGACCAGGGAGGATGCCAAGGCCAGGGCCAGCAACCAGTCACACCCTTCTTCTGTTCTTTGTTTCAGCATTCAATATTGTATTAAATTTTGGAATAGCCGTTACGTATCCCACTCTGATGTCTGTTGGAATCGTCCTCAGTGTACCTGTGAATGCAGGTAAGCCTAGACGGCTTCCTCTCTCTGCTTGTAAACACACACTCACACACACACACACACACACTCACACACACTCACATGCGGTCTTGCTGTGTCTGCTATGGAAAGCATGTTTGCCCTTCTGGGTAGAAAGAAAGCACTTCGGTAGAATGTCGGCGTGTGTTATATACACGCGGTTTCTCCAGAATGCATCGATTTTCACTAACACACCAAGATACGACAATCTCAAGCCGTCTCAGTTCTAACTGCCGTGGGAACCAGAGATGAGTCTCGTTAATCTTGGTAATAAGTGTGGAAGATTACGTAGCAGGAGAAACATTCAGTTTTGTAAGTGACTTTCTGGGGGAGAAAGTGTGCTCAGGGTGTGACAGGTGTGGGGTAGTGTTTGCAAACTGGGGAAGCACAAACATTATTTATTCTCCACCTCCCAGAAGGAGCGAGAGCCCTTTGGCCAGTTACTCGGGACCTTGCTTTGCTTTCTGCTTGGGGAGTCCCCAGTGCGCTCTCTTGGCAGCTCTGTCAAAAACTTGTTGTTGACAGCACCTCACCTCCTTCCTCTTCCTGGCTCATTCTGGGGTCCATTTTGGATTTTCTTCCTGGAGCCCCCTCCTCACACCCGACAGCCCCATCTAACCTGTTCTTAGCCAGAGAAGGGTTTGTAAATCAGTTCTCTCCATCACACTCACCCCCTTGGCCCTGGCACAGCCCCCTCCCCCAAAGCCAAGTCCAGAAGCCTCTTACCCACAAGGCCATTAGAGGATTCACCCCCAGGGAATTGCCATTATCCTGTTCAATGTGGCATCACTAGGCAAAACAGCTCTCAATTTCCTAAGCCTTTTCCTGGGATTTGGTTCTTCACGCCTCCTCTCCCACATGTTCTGCACATGACTCACCTCGGCCCCAGACGCTTCTCGGGATACCTCGGGGCAGTGTGTGGAAAAACGCCTGGCCAGGGCATCCAGGCACTGTGCTCGGGCCAGCACCAGCCCTCCCCACCTCGAGGGTGGTGGTCCCGGCTCATCAGCAGTCTGGGCCTTAGCTTGTCTCCCCTCAACACTTCAAGATGCTGAAAGTTCCAGAGCTCCTGGAGAGCTGGTAAGAAGTGGTCCAACCTGTCAGTCTCCAGATGCTGCCGCCTTCGGAAAAATAACTTATCAAGTTACCCCCTCCACCTCACTGCGTCTTCATAGCTGCAGCGATCCTATTGCGAGAAGGCATCTGGCAGGTAGCTCCTAGGGGGAGGCTCACTTTGCCCGTCTCATACAGCCAGGTGCTTGAGAGATTAACCAGATTCCCTTCTTATTATTCACCTGCAACATAAGAGGTTTAATCGTGTGTCAAAGGAAGGAATCACATTCAATTCTCAACTGGAGGAGAGAAGCAGAGGGGCCCGCCATTACCGGATGTATCAGACCAGAGTGCTTGGGTGGCTTGCCCACACGCCCTGATGTTTATCACTGCTCATGTGCCCTGCTAATTGACTATCCCCATGTGCTGAATGTACCGAATGTTCTGTCATTATTAAAAATTCAAGTATTTCTGGATTACAGTGAGATAAAAGAGGCACTTGGTCTTTTTATATCTCTAAGGATATTCTTTTTTTATTTCTTATTTCTTATTCTTTTTTAGCTTTACTTGAATTCAAGTTAGGTAACATATAGTGTATTATTAGTTTCAGGGGTAGAATTTAGTGATTCCCCAGTCGCATATAACACCCAGTGCTCATCACATCACGTGCCCTCCTTAACGCCCATCACCCAGTTACCCCGTTTCCCCCACCGACCTCCCCTCCAGCAGCCCTCAGTTTGTTCCCTAGAGTTGAGAGTCTCTTATGGTTTGTCTCCCTCTCTGTTTTTATCTTATTTTATTTTTCCTTCCCTTCCTCTACGTTCATCTGTTTTGTTTCTCAAATTCCACATATGAGTGAAATTAGATGATCTTTATCTTTCTCGGCCTGACTTATTTAAAAGAGGCACTTTAATTCCACAAAAGGGCTACCAACAAAAATTTTTTTTCAGGTTTAACGTTCATCCCTTCCTCTTTCTTTGCCCACCCTGTAGACAGGGTGAGAGTCAGGGAGGAGGGGAGGAGGGAGGCAGAGGAGACAGACGACCGGGAGGGGAGAATGATGGAGCCAGGCCGTCTCCTGGGCAGCCGGAGGGGGCCCACGCGGGGCGAGCTGGTGGACAGCCGGCCAGTGAGGCGGTTTTCAAAGGCTAACGCGGCAAACCCTCTTTCACCAAATGATACAAAAGAAATGTAGTGGGTGCCTCTTGGGCAGAGGGCGGGCTCCACATCTGCTTTGTCTGGCTGAATTAAGAAAACAGGGAAATAAAACAAAAAAAAAAAAAGGAAAAAGACAAACCTTAATATCCCCAGCGTTTTTGACTATTTAGCTCTGAAGAGGATGGTGATGTGGGTTTTTATTTATGGACATGGATCCTACTTCTCATTTTGTTCCCTCACCTGATGTGAGTCAGGTATGAGCCATGTGCCCTGTAGACCTTTAAAAAACATTAGTAGGTGGCTTTAGAGCCTCCTGCTAATGATGCCCTGGGGCAGAACAAGAATTTATATTTCTTATCTTCCAAAACCAGTTTGAGTTTGGTCTTCAAACCATATGTATGCATATATTAGGAAATAATGCTTTTAAATTATAAAATGTCATTTTTTTTCATGTCATAGAAGACATGAAAAGTACCAAAAATATAAAGAAAGCAATAACATTTTCAGTGTCCTGCCACCCAGGGGTGGCCAAAGTTAAACTTTGGGGTGATGTGTGTGTGTGTGTGTGTGTGTGTGTGTGTATCTCCAACTCCCCATTCGTTTTGTCTCTCGCTCAAATTACTGTCTGAACTAAGTTGTCAGGTCAGTTTGGAGAAGTGAAATAAAACGCCAGGCTTCACACCAGAGAGGTGTTACAAAATTAAGAGGCAGCCCCTGCCCGCTAGGAACAAAGCCACACCGAGGAGGATTCTGCGGTCAAGGAAGACCCCTGCTCCGCGCCGCCCGCACAAGGGGACGCCCCGGGCCCCACCCTGCGCCCGGGGCCTGGCTCCCGGTCTGAGTAACCCGGCTTCTCTCTCTCTTGCGCAGTGGTTGATCACTACACCAGTAAGATAGTCTTCAACGGGGTCCGGGTCATCGCCATCATCATCATCGGCCTGGGCTTCCTCCTGCTGCTCTTGCCCGAGGAGTGGGACGTCTGGCTGATCAAGCTGCTCACCCGCCTCAAAGTGAGGAAGAAGGAGGAGACAGCGGAGGGCGGCGCAGACCTGGGCTCAGGACCTCAGAGCAAGAACAGAAGAGCCCGCCCCTCCTTCGCGCGCTGACCTCGGCCCCCCAGAACTCCGCTGCGAACGCTCACGCTCGGGTTAGGGACTTGGAGGTCTGTTCCTAACAGGGGACCCTCAGTTTGGTAAGGTGTGTACATACCTGTACAGTTCCGGTAATCTGCGGTAAGTTATACGGTATTTATTGGCATGTCCAATTTGCTTGCACTTTTTCCACATCAGACCTTTCACTTAAGGGTACCAATTCCAAATGAACGAGAAAAGAAGAGCCTCTGGGCCCTTTTGAAATGAATGTAAAGCCGGTTAAAATGATCCTTGCATAGATTGTTCGGGATGACAAGAGGCAGGGCAGGTGTTTTGAATCTTAGCAACTGCAAATTACATTGCACACTGTGATTATTTCTCAGCTATGGTAGGTCATATTTCGTTTTATACCAGAGCTGTCCTCTTAATTTTAAGGGATTTCAATGAACCAAACGATAACTGTAAGTTACTTTGGGTGGATGGAGGGAGGGAGGGAGGGATGTGAAGAGGGGAAGCAGAAAAGCAAAAAATGGACTTCGGAACCCACCGACTGCGGCTAACCTGGGGGAAGGGGGCAGGTGGAGGCCACCAGGCCGGAGGCAGGTTACAGAAAGGGAGTCCGAGCCCCAGCCGGCCTGCTCTCACGAGAGTGTGTAAGATCGTGCAAGAGAAATTACAGTGCCTTCTACAGAATTTCTGTCCTTACCTACGTGAAGCGAGGTGACATTGTAAGTCACTGGCGCCGTCTTATAATTTAGATGTACAAATCTTTAGAAACAAAACTATCTATGTGTGTGTACGTGTACAAAAATGACAAGCTGATGACCAGTGTAAGAGAACATGGGTGGCGGTGCGCAATGCACATATACGGTAGACCAGGCGGGAGGTGAATTTCTGGTTCCTTTTACTCCATGATCAAGATGGAAAAATTCTCTACCGAATCTGTAAACCTTTTTATGAAACTTTTAAAGCACCAGGCTGTTTACTTACACAATTTAGGTCTGCCAGAAAATTCTATCTGTGATAGATCTGTCAAGAGGGACACGGGGGTTAGAGTTTACTATTTTTGAAGTTTACATTGTTACATACGAAATGGAAACCATATTTTGAAATGTTGTCATAACCCAATGGTGCATTCTGTGACCATGGAGTCTTTCGTGTCATAGGGGAAAGGGGCATTCATGACCTGAACTTTTTAGCAAATTATTATTCTGTTTCCATTACCTGTTTGGCCAAACAGATTAATAAACTATTTAAAAAAGAAGCATCCCGTGCTGTGTTGGTGGCTACTTTGTTGCTTCCCCGCTGTGCCCCTTCCTTCCTCACCTTACCCTTTGCTCTTAGCAGGTGCCACCCTCCTGCACTATCGAGGCATGGGGAACCCACCCAGCCACCTCAGCGGCAGAAAATTCTTGTTGTAACAGCAGAGTTGACCGTCACCAAAGCAAAATGCAGAACAGCGGGGCCTCGTAAAAATGTCTTGAGGCAGAGTCTCCCTCCCCTTCTCTCCTTTGTCCCCTTCTCCTTTCCCTCCAGGTGCCTGCCCCCCACTCAGCTCTGGGTGTCGCTGCTCTCTCTCGTTTTTCTGCACTGACTGGCTCCTCGGAGCAGCTTGCATGGGCCCCTCCTAGCTGCCTCCAGGCGGCCGCCGCAGTCCCCATGTGGACGTGGTCTTCCAGCTCCCCTCCCAAGCCTCCCTTCCGCCTGCGTGTCCTAACCTAGTTCTAGCTCTGGAGAGAGTTCGGTGTCCCGGCTTCAGTAGCACACACAATTTCGGTTCCAGGCAGCTTCAGCCAGGGGCTGTGAGGTCCAATGTCTCTCATTCTGCAGCTGCGAACGGCAGGTGCTCTGGGGGGGATGGGGCGTGAGCAGAGAGGAGATGGCGAGGACACCTCCTCCTTCCCGCCACACCTAGAGCGATTACCCACCATGGGGTGTTGGCTTGCTGCATGGGGTCAGACGCCGGGAGCTGAGCCGTCCAAAGCAGAGAGCTCCCTGCCTGGTGTGTCCAGTGTGTGCTATGAGGGGGATCCCCTCAGCCCCCTTAGCGGAGCCGGGGTGAGTCACTGCCATGATTCTGTCTGGGCTCCAGACCCCTCCAGTTTCCTCGGAGGGCCAAACAAACATTTCCTATGAAGCCATAACATGAAAACGTTGGGAAACCCAGCCCTAGAGTAGATTCGCCTCGTTCTCCCGTTTGGCATAAAAGACTATGAAGACTCAAAAGCATTGGAAGCAGGGGCTGGCTCAACGGGATTTTTGTGCACTGATCAGAGCAGGCCTATTCACGGCAGTCAAGAGGTGGAAGCCACCCAGGCGTCCATCAATGGCTGAATTAGATAAACAAAATGTACACAACAAAATGTACACACAGCCTTAAAAAAAAAGGGGGGGGGAATTCTGACCCATGCTACCACATGGATGAATCTCGAAGACATAATGCTGAATGAAATAAGTCACAGAAGGACAAATACAGGATTCCCCTTATATGAGGTACCCAGAATCGTCAAATTCATAGAGACAGAAAGTAGAATGGTGGTTACTGGGGGCTGGAAATGAAGAGTTCTCGTTCAGTGGGGACAGAGTTTCAATTTTGTATAATAAAGATGTTCTGGAAGATGGATGGTGGCGATGGTTGCCCAGCCATGTGAGTGTACTTAATGCCCCTGAACTGTACACTTACAAATGCTTACGTGGTAAATTTTATGTATATTTTTTCATCATAATAATAATAATAATAAAACAACTTTGAAGGGTAAGGTATGTGGAATAAAAAGGTTAAAACTCTCAGGAATGGTTAATGCTCCTCTCTGGAGTAAAGTAGGGGAGATTTGAGAGGTTTCTTTCCAGAAAGGATACAAACCACAACCTGCCATCCCCACCCCAAGCAGGTTTCAAGAACTGAGATGAGCTGTGGCCAACCAGGAAGGGATCTATGAAGAGAAAATCCCAGAAAAGAGTCCCTCCCAGTGGAACCGTGGGGTGACTGGGAAATAGCCTCCATCCCCGCTCTGCCTGGGGAATCGTCTGCCTTCTAGAGGCTAGCCTGGATAGCAGTGAAAGGATTCATCTATTTTCACTCCTTTTGAGGAGTTTAAGAGGGAAGACAGAAGGTACAAAGAGGATAAGGGGCCTCTGCTGCTGATCGAGGTGCCAGAGACTCTCAGAGCCTCCAGTCCTACCTTCTCTGTCAGAATATGGTCATGTGGAGCCAGAGGGCACGAAGTGACCAGCTGCCTTTTGCTACAACCAGTCAGAGCCGTTTCTAGGAGCTCATACCTGCTCACATCTGCTATGCAGATGCTCAGGATAAAGGAAATCAGGAGAGAAGAAAGTGTTGCCAGAGACCTCGCACCCTGGAGAGCAGGTGTGTTGCCAAATCTAGCCAAGGATGCATAATAGGGAGTTCTGCATATTCAATTTTGAAAATAAATTATTTGTTCTAAAATTGGAACGTGGTGGTGGTTGCGCAGCTCTGCAAATATTTCAAAATTCAATGAATTGTACACTTTAAATGGGGAATTTCATGGCGTGTGGATTATATCTCAATAAAGTGGTTTTAAAAATAAATGATCAAAAATAGATGATGGATGATGGATGGATAGGTGGATGGATGGATGGATAGATAGATATAGATAGATGATAGATAAATGGTTGCCGCACACAAAATGAGTTAAAATTCCTTTGCCAAAATCTTACAGGCAGAGAGGACATTTCCTGGGTCGTTAGCTTGTTTTTGGCTGCCCAGCATGTGATCGCTGTTTGAAACAGCATGTTCCATCGTTCCCGAATCTGAAGGGAACAGATGCTCCATCTCGGACCCACCACAGTCCAGGGGAGGGCAGTCGGGATGAACTGCTCTTGGCCGGCAGGCTGCAATCTCCCAGGACTTTGGTTCTGGAACAAGGCATGCCAGACCCTGGAGGACCGCGCCGACCAGCTGTCCCCAGGCTCCCTGCTGCAGCCCCAGGCTCCTCCCAGTGTGGAGATGGGTGATTGCTGCCCATTTCCAAAAGGATCCTTCCAACTCACACTCTCACAGATCCTTCCCATGCAGCTGGGCTTGTGACGGCGCAGCAGGACTCCTCGGTCAAACTGCCTTAAAGAATGAATGGGAATGACTTATAAGAAATGCGTCAATGATCTATAAAGTGGATGTTCTTCACAGTGCTTAAAACATATTTTTAAAGAAATTTTGAACAATGATATTTTCCCTTACCTGTTTTTTCGTGTATTCAGCATTATCAAATTCTCGAGAAAACCCTTCCCCCTCCCATTTTTTAAAGTAATCTCTGTACCCAATGTAAGTCTCAAACATATGACCCTGAGATCAAGAGTCGCATCCTGCACAGACTGAACGAGCCAGGCGCCCCCCAAAAAAAACCCTTTTCTTGAGTTAAAATACTGATAAACATCAGCCGAGGTCCATCTTCTCTAAATTATCAAAAAATGAGTTCCTGACATCATAGGAAATGCGATTTCGTGTAGTTACAATGTAATGAGTTGTGAATTTTAGCTCAGAACAAAAATGGCAAATTTTTCTTTTTCTTATTGAAAACAGAACATGTTTCCTGGGGAAATTTGGGAATGCCCGTAAAGCTGCAAGCCAGCAACAATGCACTACTACAAGAATGCAGTTGTGTTAGGAGCCTCGGTAACAGTAATAGCAGCAGCCTGGGGAGAGTGGCCCCAGAGAGGAACCCCGAAGCTGGGGAATCTCTCTGAGGATGGCTGGAGGGAACTCCCAGGCATTTTCTCTTTGAGAGTGACAGGAGGACATAAGAAGCTAAGTGTACCTTCTTAGCCTTTGACTTGTCTTTGTATCTCCACAGAAAGGCATCCTTAAGAAGAGGTTCTTCACCACAAGGAAAAAAATCAGAGGAACTTGAAAACCTCCAGAAGGACATTCCGGGAATCCCCAATATTTACTCCTCGTTAGAAATAGAAGAGCGCTGGCCACCTAATCTCTTCAATTTCTTAGGAATCTACTGAATGCTAGTAATGTGGGGAATATC